TCTGTCTGTCTGTCTGTCTGTCTGTCTGTCTGTCTGTCTGTCTGCACAAAGGCCTTGCTCTGATTTTTTTTTCCTGAGGAAGACGAGATAATGCAGGGTAATCAGGCTTGCTAGCTCAACAGGTCTGGTGATCATGGGGAACAGAGGCTTCTGGAGTAGACTGGTATCTGGCACTTGGTGAGGAGGGCACATCAACAGAGGTGCCCAACTCAAGGACATTCGTCCTTTCCTGTCTTCTGTCTCTGAGTGCTGGGGTATCCTCCACCATGCTCACATGTTCAAATCTTCATTCCCTGGGTGGCGGTATTAGGAAGTGAGGCCTTTGGGGGGTGATTAGGTCATGGGGCAGAAGGCCCAGAAGCCAGGCAGGTGCCTGTGGTCCTGGCTGTTTCAGGGGTGGAGACAGGAAGACCAAATGAGTGCGGGAGTCAGACCAGCCTGGGCAAAATGGTGAAAGCCTGTCTCCGATCACACGAATGAACAAACAAACAAAAAGCCCTAGAGAGCTCTCTTGCTTCTTCTGAGAAAACAGCTAGAAGGGACCATCTGTGAACTGATAACGGACCACCCACACACAGGAAGTGGGCGCTTGGCACATACTGAAGCTGGCGGCGTCTTGAATTTGGAGTTCTCAGTTGCCACAATTTGTTACAATAACCTGAAAAGGCTGTCACATCATGGTTTCTATATCATTCTCATAATTTTGTCAGTTTACCCCCGATCCATGTCTTTTTTTATGCATTTAGTACAGGGTCTTACTACACAGATCGGACTCATAATGATTCTCCTGTTTTCACCCTTTCAAGCACTGGGATTTCAGGTGCCATGCCCAGTCTCAGTCACTGTCTCAGCATGCCCTGCTGGTGGGCCTGGCTTGGCAGGCCGGGGATCTAACCCCAGCCAGTGTGCTCTGCCTGAGCAGGCACTTTAGTACTCTGCGCTGTCTGGCTGACCCCCACCCCCACATCTGTGTCCTGATCCTTTAGCCTCCTTTAGGATCTGCACCCATTTCTCCTCTCCCTTTGTAGGTAAATCCTCAAGACAGCTTCCAGAGCTTGCTCTCTCTGACCTCTTTCCTGTCCTCCTCTCTTGAGCCTATATCAGTGAAGCTTGTGTCCTCACAAGTCTGATGATGCTGCCTTGGCCCAAGTCTCTCACAGCCCCTTGGTATACACTCTAGTGTCCAATTTTCAGTTCTAATTGTGCCTAAACCATCTGTAGTTCATAATGTTTTCTCATCTATAACATTTCATGGTGAAAATCCAAAGATAAATAGAAAGGCTGACAGAACAGTTGGGTAAATACTGATAGGTCTCACATTTCACATCTTCAGTTAATCATTTTACACTCCTAGGTGTTTCATAGGCCAGGATTTTGTGTCACATTGAGCTATGCTTACATTAAAGGTCAGGACAGTTTTTGACTCTGTCAGAAAATCACTTGATCCTGTACTGGGGAGGAACAGGTAGTGGGAGAAGGCTGTGTGTGGGACGATGAGGAAGTCACTTTGGTTGGCCAGATTTTACAAATGACTGAATAATGTGTGCTCTTTGGCAGCTGTCCTGTTGTTCACTTTCTACACATGCTAATTCTCTATCCTTTTTTAAATTTCCAGATAATGTGAAGAAGGATGATACACCTGAGCTTACAAAGAACCACCATGGTCTTATAGCACATTCTCTAGCTGCAAAATCTGGCAACTGGAATAGAGGTTCATAGCATTACTTCCTAATTTGCCCTGAAATTTTTTGTGACAGTGCCACCCCAATTGAGATCATCAGGGAAACACCTGGATTCCTAGGACCAGGGCCGCTTTCTTTTCAATTCTGTAGATGACAGGTGTTTCTATATCAGTTCATGTATCTACAGAATGAGACAGAGAGAGAGAGAGAGAGAGAGAGAGAGAGAGAGAGAGAGAGAGAGAGAGAGAGAGAGAGACAGAGAGAGACAGAGAGATACAGTGCATGAGTGAGTGCACGAGTGAGAGCGAGGAGAGAGCTTTGCCCAAGGATGGGGAGCCTGGGACATTAGGGTTAAAATTATATTTGTTGACACAGGTTATGCAATACAGCCTCATTCTTATTAAAAGTTAAGGATTTTATTTTTATATTATATTTCTGATGTTGCCTACTGTTCCATCTTTGTAATAACAATGTGATTAACAAATGTATTAGCTGAGACATGTAGCTGAGATCAATTTTTTTTGAAAGCTTGCTTTTCCTTTTTAGCAATAATTCCACATAGACCTGCTCTTGTTCAAGTGATCATAGTTGCATGCATAGCCTTTGGCATTGCCATTGCATGTGGGATCATCGCCTTCTGTGTCACACAGTAAGTGTGTGCTAAGTAACATCTGCTAAAGTGCTACTTAGTGTCCAAAAAGATGATCTGGGATATAATTATGTTGATGATAATTCTTGTAATTGCTAGATTATTATTAGTCATCATACATTTCTGGCCTAGCACCTATCAAAATGTGGATTATACTCATGTTGGGTTATGATATAATGAAAAAGAAAATAGGGAAAGAGAAGAGATGAAGCTACATTTTAGCAGAATAGAAATGCTACAGGCATAAAAGGTTGATTTTTAAGCTTTTCAGAAAGAGACAGACACACAGGCATGCATACATACCACATAGACATGCTCATGAAGGAAATGCGCTTCCTGTGGTGCGTCGTGTGAGAAATCATTGGCAGCAAGGTGCTAGCATCTTCCCAATGTGGTATTCTGGAAAGAACACTGTGTGTGTGTGTGTGTGTGTGTGTGTGTGTGTGTGTGTGTGTGTATTGGTCCAGGGCCTCAATTTGCAGCTGGGACTCGTAGTGATCCTCCCGTCTCAGCCTCCCAAGTGCTGAGATTACAGGTGCACACCAACATGCCCAGTCTCAATTGCCATCTCAGCGCATGGGCTTGAACCCCTCTGCCGCACTCTCCCTAAGCAGGTGCTTTAGTCTGCTGAGCTTTCGGGTTTTCTTCATGAAATCTTTTCCTAAATCCATGCCTTCAAGAGTTCTGCCTATTCTCTCTGTAAGAAGATTTAGTATTTCTGTTTTAATATTTAGATCTTTGATCCACTTTGATTTTCGTTTAGTGCATGGATGGACATGGGTCTTATCTTAGTCTTTGGCATGTCGCTTGTAGCATCATTTATTAAAGAGGCTTTTCTCCTTCCATGTATGTTTGACCTTTTTTATCAAATTAAGATGGCTGAGTGTGTTTTTAGTTATTTCTACATCTTCTACCCTGTTCCATTAATGCTCAAGTTTATTTATTTGAAAGTACTATGCTTTTTTTCTCAGCTGGGACTTGTAGCTCTGCAGTATACTTTCTAGTCAGGGCTTGTGATGTGCCCCTGCCTTGTTTTTGTTTCTAAATTTTTTTTTTACCCTTATAGATCTTTTCTAGTTCCAAATAAATTTTAGGAATGTTTTCTGTATCTGTGTTAGATATTCTAATGGTATTTTGGTTAGAGTTGCATTAAATCTGTATGACAATTTTGGGACTATGGTCATTTTGGCTATGTTGGTTCTTCCTACCCATGAGTAAGGGACATCTTTCTATTTTCTAACACCCTATCCCCTCTTTCAGAGTCCTGTAATTATCACTGTATAGAAATTTTACTTCCCCAGTTAGATTGATTCCTAAGTATGTCATTTTTGGGTTCTATTGAGGAAGGTGTTTCCCTAATTTCTTTCTCTTAGTGGGCTATTTGTGTGGAGGAGTGCTGTTGTTTTTTGAGTGTTAACTTTGTATCCAGATATGCTACTAAATTTGGTTATTAAATCTAGAAGTCTTTTGGTGGAGTTTTTGAGTTCTTCTATTTAGAATATCATATCACATGCAAGTAATGATAATTTAACTTCTTTTCTATGTTTACTCCTTTTATTTCAATCTCTTATCTAATTGCTTTGACTAATATTTCCAAGACTCTTTTGAATAAGAGTCATGATAATGGACATCCTTGCCTTGTTTCTGATTTTATAGTGAAAGCTTTTAGGTTTTGACCATTTAGTAGGATATTGGCTATTGGTTTGTTATAGATGACTTTATAAGATGAGGTAAAGACCATTTATTCTAATTTTCTGTAGGGCTTCTATCATGAAGGAGTGTTGGACTTTGTCAAATGCTTTTTATGCGTGTATTGAGACAATTGTGTGATTTTTGTCTTTGGCTCTATTGATATGGTGCATTATAATACTTATGGATTAGTTTATGTTTTACCATCCCTGCATGCCTGTGATGAATCCTACTCAGTCTTGGTGTACAAGTGTGTAGTGATCCTCTTTATCTCTTTTGATAAGTCTTGACTTGAAGTTCAGTTTGTCTGCAGATAGAGTAGCTACTCCTGCTTTTTTTCTGGGTTCATGTTGCATGGAATATTATTTTCTATCCTTTGACTTTCAGTCCATGAATTTCTTTGTGAGTTGAGTGTATTTCTTTCTTCCCTCTTAGTGTATGGAGACATAACTAATGTGTATTGGCTTACCCTGTTGTTGGTTGCTTTCTCTGCCTGGCGGCTTGTTTTTGTTAATGTTCTTGGAACTGTGGATTTTATAATCTCTTTCTATATCATTCAGGGAATTTTGGAGAGCTGATTTGGTGGTCATGAATTTCTTGAATTGTCCTTGTCATAGAAATATCTAATTTCTCTATTGATTTTGAAACATAGTTTTCAGGTATGTAAATCTGGGTTGGAAGTTGTTTTCTTTTAAGACTTGAACTTCCTCACTCCAAGCCCTCCTTGATTTGAGAATTTGTGCTGAAAAGTCTGCTATAATTCTGATAGACTCTCCTTTAAAGGTGATGTATGTCTTCTCTATAACTGATTTTGATATTCTTATGTTGAGCTTCTGGAATCTTGATTATTATATGCACTGATGTAGATTTAATTTGGTTATGGTTATTTGGAATTATGTATGTTTCACTTATTTTTATGTAGTATAGAGACAATCATATTAAGGAGAAGTGGACATCCAGAACATGGTCAGTTTAAGACCAGTTCCAGTCCCTTCTAGATTTTTTTGGAGGAACTGGGGTTTGAACTCAGGCCCTTGTACTTTCCAGGCAAGAGTTTATTCTACTGAGCCATCTGCCCAGTCTCATGGAGGCCAAGATTTGTGCACAGCACAAATACTATTGAAAGAAATTTTAGTGATGAGTGTATACTGAACTTTGGCTCTGGGTTACTTAATGTGATAGTCTATATTGACTTAAATCCTGTAAGTAAAACATCTGTATATTTTATTATTGTAGAACAAAGGTAACAAATCTAAAGTTGTATGAAGTGACTCACTAAAATGTATCTCACGGACATCAGTACTCCATCAAGTTTTTGGCTGAAAGTCCAATCATGGTCATCAACCTATGCCACCCTAGTAGGTGCTGCATTGGGTTGTGTCAGAGCCTGAGGTGAAATAAAATGCATGTGGTTCAAAGTGCACAATGTTTGTTGCTTTATCTTTTCCCGAAGTAGATTTTTGAAAGCACTACTGGTAAATTTGGTTTCACTTAAAGCAGGAAAGTAAAATGGTAATTAATTCTGGTTCTGAGTCTCAAGTTTAGTGTTTTGGAAAGAATATTCCGTTAAAATTCAGCTTGGAATCATTGCATCCTGCCTTTATTTAACATTTTGATATTTGGCTTATCATGGATTATTGTGCATTCATTTCACTGTCTGAAGATACTGAGTTAAACTGTTTAGCTTCATTCCTAGGTGTTTTGGGCACTATTTGACAATTAGCACCTGAGGACAGTGACTCATTCTTTGCGTCCCATGTTTTTTTGTTAATCACATTGTTATTACCAAAGGTTCAAGTGGTAGAATATTGAGGGTATGAAATAAATGCTAGAGGTAGTTCTTCATGCAGAAGAAAAATCTTTCAAGACTGAAACATAATAATGCAGCAGGCACTGAAGAGCAAAACCACACCTGCTTTTTGTTTGTTTGTGGTGCTGGGGATTTAGCCTAAGGCTTCTGCACAAAGCTACATCCTCAGCCCCCTTTTGAGACAGGGGCTCACTAAGTGTCTATGTTGTCCAGATTGAGCTTGAACTTTTAGTCCTCTTGCCTCACCTTCCAAAATGCTAGGGTTTTGGTTGTGCATTACCATGCCTAGTTTGGTTTGATTATCTTCACTAATGATCACAACCAAGTTCTTGTGCACGGTGTGCTTCTGGAATATCTCACACCTTTTCCTCTATTGCTGCCCCTAAGGACACAAATCAATTAATCTAAAAAGTGTCTTTTATTGCTTAAGTCACACAGATCTTGGAAGATAAATATGTCAGGAAAAAGTAAAGTGCTATCATCATTTCCAATAGAAGAGAAATAGGCATTCTCTGAGCCATTATTGGATTGAACCGCAGTAAATAGAGAGAGGTATTAACTTCAGGGGTAAAATTTAAGAATGTTGATAAACTCAGTAATCAAAATAAATGCCATTTTAGTGTAGAACTTTCTAAAGTTTAGATTAAGGCTCAAAATATTTACAGTGGACATTTAAAATGTTGATATTTTGTTAATGATGGATTTTTTGGCATTAAATTTTATAACCTATAGCCCCGAAATACAATTTGTCTTGTTTATAGAATTTTTTCCTCAACACTTTACTTTTGTGCCAAATATGAGCCCTTCACTTCTAGTACTGGCTTTGATCTTTCTTGGGGCTCATCAGTTTCTTACTATAATAATCAGCTGGTTAATCTCAAAATTTGAGATCTTTTTATGACTAGTATGGTTTGAAAGTGTATGTGTACCTTTCTTCTTTGCCTACTACCACCAATTTCTTTTTAGTCAGAAAATCCCATGATTAAGACATGATGATTAACTGTGAGAACTGTGGTTCTAAATTCATTTACATTCTTCTACAGTCAAATGGTAAAAGCAGAGGAAAGACAACAGCTCACATTGCTTTATGAAAATGTCCAGATTCCACCGTTAGGAGACCAGGAGGGCTCTGAGGACAGTGGACCTGAGGAATCTACACACCTGCTTCCAGAAAATGAGAATGAGTTGGGCAAGTTCATCATCTCAGGTAGAGGGTCCACCGGAGTACTGCCACAATCAGGGGCCTGAGAAGGTGCCATGGACAGAGATGGTTTGGTTGTCACAGGAAAAGATAAGTGGAGCTGAAACAGTTGGAGATAGAAAGTGGAATAGTTATGTACACATCTAAGAATCCTGACTTGCTCTTCAAGTCCCACAGAAAGGGAGCGGTGCTGTGGTTGCTTAGAGCCCAATGCAGGGCGAGTCCAAGCCTCTAAGATAGAGTTCAGGAAACAGAATGAAACTTTCTTTAAGCACACTTATTACTGAGGCACTACTTGCACATTTAGAACACAGACAGGCAGATGCCCTCCTTGTCCCATCTGAGGCATAGATGGGACCCAGGCCCACACTGTGAGACTACTGCACCTCTTGGATCCATCCCAGACCTATGAGAGCAGCACACATATTGTTATGAGGACACAATGATGTAAGCACTCACAAAAGCCAGGTTTTGTGAAAGTCCTGAGAGTTTTGTACATCTTTCTCAAAATTCTAGAGGAAAACATGTAGAGTGTCTGATCCAACATACCAGCATCCTCTGTTTGGACTTCTGCTAATGATTCCAGATATACATAGCATGAAGTTCTGGACAGGCCAAGAGCAGGATGCATAATTAGTGTTTACTGAGGCAGGAGGCCTTCATCAAAGTAGCCTTTCAATGCTTTTTCATTACATTGAATTATAACTTTACTAATTTTTTTAAAAAACTTGGAATTTGCAAAGTTCAGATAAAAATGTAAAAATAATTTTAAAATTTAGTTTTCACTATCCTTGTCAGACAAATAGCATTCACTGTCCACTGACCATTTCACTGCTTATATCTTTACTTTTCTGTGTTTCTTACCTCAAACCATGTCTCCATTTCTGTTTCATCATTTCTGTATTTTAGTTATTAGGTCAAAAAGAAGGGAAAATATTGAAAAGAAGAAATGGAAAAAAGAGCAACAGTTAGTGAAGGAAAGGAATTCCATACACAAGGCAAAGATGGAGAATCCGTGAGAGCAGACAAAGGCAATGCAGGCTGTTCCTGTCCAGAAGAAATTGCAGTGATGGTGGATGACCAAGGAGCTGAGCAGAGTGAGCTCCCAGGCAACCCATGGAATAGCACTCACAAGAAAGACATGTCAGCATGTGTAAGAGAAAATAAATGCTTGTAGTACAGCAAGGCTGCAGTCTCGTAGTCCATGAATGAGTATGACACCTGGCAAATAGAAAAAAATAAACACTGGTAAGAGGGAAAGATAAATTGTCAGAATTTTCTTCTCCTCCTCCTATCAGAAGTGCAGACAATTTCTTTGGGTCATCTTCTAGACCATGCTAACAAAATGTTTTCATTGAATGTAACATTCTCAGTGGTATTTTCTATTAATTCCAGTCATTTGTTTCCATTTTACACACAGGGAAACTGCAGAGATCAACATAAATATGACACTTTACTAAGACACAATCATTCCCTACTCTGTCTAGGAAGTGGGCCTGCAGGTAAGGAGCTGTTGTGCACATAGCCAGAGATCCTGAGTGCTACAGGATGGGAGTTGCCAGGAGCTGTGGGTATAGAGTACACAAGTCTCACTCTAAATGGTTCCATTTCTTTAAGAAGCAGTCTGGCAATTTTTAAAAAGTTAAATATAGTTACTTTGTGATCCAGAAGTTTCATTCCTAGATCTGTATTGAAGAGAATTGACAACATGTGTCCACACAAAGCACTAATACACAGACATTTGTAACAGCACTATTTCCAAGAGCCCAAATGTAAACACAACTGTCCTATCAACTTATGAAAGGATGAACATAATGTAGTCTGTTTAAAGAAATGACCACGGGAAGACTTGATTCATATAACTTAGTGATCTCACTGAGATTAGTCTCTGTAAGTGATCCCTAAGCCACTGAAAGTTCTCAACGTATTGAAGGCTAAAAGCAGGCTAAGGAATGTGTATAACTACTTTTGTGAACACAAACTACTCTTTCTACTGCCTTCAGGCATTTACCTAACTCTAAGTTTACACTATGCTAGCCAATAACATTCCAAGCAAGGGATCAAAGAACAGAAGGAGCCAGCAGGAAAAGCTGTTATCTATGGCCTTGTACCCCAGCTGTTGGGAATTTACAAGAGAGACCACAGTTCTCCTTGGGCTATTTATTGCTATTTGCTCCCTCAGGACATCAGGCTTCTGTTTCATACTTGTATTTCTATAGTAGTCTATACAATCAGTGGCATGTTGTAGGCAGTAAACAATGAAGGGGTCAGGGAGATGGCTCAATAGAATAAGTGCTTCCTTGGCAAGCACAAGGGCCTGAGTTCGATCCCTGGTTACACCAAAAAAACAAAAACAAAAACAAAAACAAAAAAACAAAAACAAACAAAAACCCCCAAACCAAACCAAAGCAAACCAAACAAAAACCAGCAATGAGATAATGATACACAATACACCAGAAACAAACTTCACGTACTTGATGCTAATTGCAAAAAATCAGACACCTACTGTGATTTTTTTGATTAAAAATATCCCAAATTGGTAAAGCCACAGTTGCAGAAAGCTGATCAGTGGTTCTAGGAGTTGAGAGGTGAGGGACTATAGGAATGGGGTTCCTTTTTGGGATAGTTTGAAAATTTGATAGTGCTGATGTTCATACAACCTTGGGAATATATTGTAGTACACCAAACTGTACACTCAAAAGAGTAAATTTTTCAGCTTATTAATTAGGTCTCAGTTAACTTTCCAGACTTTCAGAAGACACACATATACAATGATACTGCAGTTCACAAAGACTAGAGAGTACAGTGCAGCACTATGCAGGGCGACATACAATTTTCTTTCTTGTAAATTTTATTGCAAACTGTAGCATGAATTTCTGAGAACTGTAAAAGAAATATCTTCCTCCAACCTGGAAGGCCAAAGAATGACTCAGACAAGTTCAGCTTGACAAGTAAGTGTGTGTATTAGTGATTACTTGCAGGGAAGTGGACAACTTATGGTAGCATGCCTACAAAGTTGCCAAATGCACTTTGTGACCAAAATCCAGATTGCACGGGAAACCCTATGATGAATGAATAAATGGGATCTCACCTAACAAAAAAATATTTTGCATAGAAAAAAAAATCAGAGTGAAAAGACAGCCCACAAAATGGGGAAAAAATTATAGCCAGCCACCTCTTAGACAAACAGCTTATATCCAAAACACACACAGAATTGAAAACAATCAGACCCCCCCAATTCAAAGACCCAATCCAAAAATGAGCATCTGAGATGAATACATAATTCTCTGATGAAGAAATACAAATGGAAAATACATGAAAAATGTTCAACATCATTGGTCTTTTGGGAGATGTAAATTAAAACAATACAGCGATTGCATCTCATCCAAGAAAAGATGTATATCATCAGAAAAACCAACAACAAAGCTGGAGAGGTTGTAGGGGAAAAAGGAACCCTTCTTCACTGTTGGTGAGAGTGCAGACTGGTACAACCCCTATGGAAATCAGCATGGAAAATCTTCAAAAAGATAGTTTTTGAAGTCCCATTCCACTCAGCTATTCTGCTTCTGGGTATTTTCCCCAGAAGAATTAAAACAGGGCCAGAGAGATAGCTCAGTAGAATAAACTCAAGGGCCTGAGTTCAGTCTCTGGTTCTGAAAACAAACAAGCCAAAACAGAACAGAAAAACAAACAACCCCCCAAGCCTTTAGCTCCCCACCAAAAAAACCCAATTAAAACACATCACAGTGATATATGTGCAGCCATGTGTTTAGCAGCGCAATTCATAAAAGCCAAATCTTGGAACCAAATAACCCAGCAACTGATGCATGGGTAAAAAAGATGTGATCTTTTTATACAATGGGCTACTACTCTGCCATAAAGAAGGATAAACATGAAACATTTTAGGTAAATGGATGCAACTTGAGACAATACTCATAAAAGAAATAAATGAGACTTGCATGTGTAGACATTGTATTGTGTCCCTAGTGTGAGAAGCTGAAAGAATAAATAAGGTCCAAAATATACAAGAGATATTGCGAAATGGGAAGTAGCTGTTCAAAAGGAAAGAGAAACTAGAATGAGGAAAAGGAGGAAAGAAGGAAGAGAAAAGGGAAAATATATATACAAAATAGTTAAAATATATATACTACAGAAAGGTTTGTGCTAAGATTGTCTGGTTAATTTTTCATGTCTGTATATTGTACTCTGAGAAACTACTTTGAAGATAAAAATAGGCATTATATTAACCATCATTCCTCTCCTATTATCTTGGTTTCAAATGTTGTTTCATGGCTTTTCTTTTTTTTTCTTTAAAATACTAGCAACACAAAGTTGCCAGCTTCCCTGGGTAAGCTACAGGTTTTATGGGGCACTAATGAAAATATGAGAATCAGGATCAGAAGTAGGATGGGTCCTTAAGAAAGGACACGTGTGCTCCAACTTCGTCCTGTCTTACTGGGAGCTCCATCCACCTTAGAAGCACTTCCAGCTGTCATGGTTGATAACGTTTGTGTTGCAGTTGGCAGCACAATTGCAGCACTGGCACAGAGCCTTGGGACAGCTGGATTGGGCATCGGAATAAAAGTCACAATGGAGGATACTCCCCCACTTTCACCAGTTCTTTTCTTTTTCTTTTCAATTTGAGAAAAACCAAATATATATTCTTAGTCTTCCATTCAATATGAACGTGTGAATTTCCTAGAAAGTTATAAAGAAACATGTGCCTGACATTCTGCTTGCTCCCCGCTCCACAGACCTTTTCCAGACAAATTCCAGGACTGGCTTCTGTGGAACCTTCTGCTTGGTTGTCGCACCCCAGACTCATCTCCCGCCAGAGCCTAGGCCTGACATACGTGTGAGACCATCCCCACAACTGCCCGAACCTCCTACGTTAGACTGGCCTGGAGTAGAACCATGCAACAGAACGCCCTGCAGAGAGGCTAGGGACCAGAACCTCTGAGCTAATCCAGGAGCTGAACATCTTGTCAGAGGGGCATGGCAGGTTCGCTTCCACAGTCTGCAGCAGGAAGAAGCTGGGCAAGCAGCCAGACCCAAGCTAGGCACATTTGGATGAGTTCAAACGTGGTAGATCCGGACCCGGTAAGCAGAGACACTCTGCTAGACCCAGATCTATGAGAGCATCCTCTCTCTTTCTCTGTTGATTGAGAGATGGGGCAACAGGCAACCGGGGTGAATCACTCTGACTGGAAGACCCCATGTACATCAAGGGGAGGTGATCAGACTGAACTTAGGAGAACTAATTTAAATACAGTTTCCCAATTTAATATCTGCTTAGCTACACAGACAAAATATTTGCTCTTATGGTCTAAAATACAAACCCATTAGTTATAAAAGTTTGTCAGCTGCTAAATATTACTACCCATTATAAGTGTTCCTAATTGTAGTTCTATAAAAACAAAACTGTAAGTACCTTAACCACATAATCTCTCTTGGGTAAGAATTTTGGTAGGTGCTAAGGTAATAACCACACCAAAGCTCTACACCAAAGATCAGAGAAGAGTGCTATATAAAAATGACAAAGAGAAGGAGCAAAATGCAATCTCAGGCCTGAGCCCACCTAGAACAAATGCAGGAGACACTAGTATTGAAGAAATTGAAAGTCACACACCTGAAATCTCTGTATTAGTAGAGGCTGAAGTAGAGAAACAACTGGAGAAAGGCATAGAGGAAATCAGATCAGAAATAATCTCTGAGGTAAAAAAAGAAATGACAACTATTATTAAAGAATTACTAAGTGCTTCTAAAGAAGACACTGATAAAAACAGAGGAGAATAGAAAAATGATGGAATCCTTGAATGAGCAATATAGGAAAGACATAGAATGCAGGAAGCAGTGTCAAAGAGATATACAGGAAATTAAAACCTCAATCACAAGCTGGAAAAACTGTTTGAATGAAAGAGAAGATAGACTTTCAGATCTTGAAGATGCCATTGTAGCTAGTGAAAAAGAAAAGATCTCTTAAAAACAACTAGGATGTGTGTGTGGGGGAACTACCAGCTCGGGCCCCCTCCTGTCCCTCTCTCGGGACAGGAGCTTTCTTTCTCTCAATAAATATATTCTGCTCATAACCTCCATTTGTTCCTAAAATTCATTCTTCAGTTTTAGAGAACACAAAGTCGTGCAGGTCAGGTCCAGAGATTGTTTTTCTCTATGTCATTTGGAGGTTCC